GATCTTATTGACTAAACGTTATCATTTCTACCTCATGATGTGGTTTGACAAAGAATGAACACTAGGACACGGCTGGCACTTCCCTGTTCACTGTGCTCGCATCTTTGGTTTCGCCTTCAGTCCAGGTTTCTACAGGAATCATTCAAAATATAACAGTTTGGTCGAAACTGGATAATACAGTCAGGAAACCTATTTGACCAGGCACAGTTAAACTGTAATTTTCAATACATTGAAAAGAAGAGAATGAGTCAGGACCTCCCACCCACAGAGTTGTGGAATGCTTTTCTCTTTGGCTGGAGACCGGGTGTCTTCTTCACGTGTGTCTGTGACTCATGAAGATGTACACTGACTGAGGGGCCAGTCTTACAGCATATACTAAACCAGTGAACCTTTCTTTATTTTTTACTTTTTGAGGTAAAAAATTAACATACATAGATGTGAAAATGTTTTGCCCACACCCAGTGGATCGTCTTGTAAACCCTTGAGGTATAATCGGAGACCAGAAGTATAACTAGTGCCTTTTCAATATCAAACTTGCATGGCCAACAAGCATCTCAAGCTCAATGTATCTAAACATAATATTTTATCCTCCTCCCTCCTAAATAAAACCTATTTCTCTCTTATTTCAGTAAATGGCACTTATATTGACCTAGTTGCTTGAGTTGAGAACCTCAGTCTTCTTGACCTCTCTCATTCTGTCATGCACCCCATCTAATCCATTAGCAAATTCTGTCAACTGTGCCTTCAGATTCTATCCTGAATCTAACTAGTTTTCTCTTCCTCCATTATTACCATTCTGTTCCAAGCCACCACCATCTCCTGCCTACTTTATTGTGATAGGCTCTGAATTGTTCTCCTTACCCTTGCCTGCCTTTCGTCGTTCTCAATGCAGCAGCCAGAAGATCTTGTAAAAACATGTCAGATCATTTCACTCCTTCATGTAAACCTCTAATGCACTTAGAATTAGGTCTGATTTCCTTACCATGACCTTCAAGAACCTACGTGATCTGGCCCTTGCTTACTTTTAAAAAGTCATCTCCTATCACCCTGTCCCTTTCACTGTGTTCCTGCTACACTGGCCTTTTTGCTATTAGGCAATGCCTTTGCAAGGCTTTTTTCCTCTGATCTCTGCTCAGAGAGGCCTTTCCTGGATACTCTTTTAAAATAGCATACACACGACTTTCACCCCCATCGCTCTTTGACTTTCCCTAGCACCTTGATTTTTATTTACCTTTATCACAATTACCACTAATTAGCATTCTACTATATACTTCTTTGCTCATTTATTGTCTATATTCTCCACTGAAATGAGAGTCCCTTTAGGGCAGGGCCATATCTGTCTTCTCTGCTATATCTCCAGCTCCTAGAACAGTAGCCAGCACATAATCAGGGCTTAGTAAGTATTTAATTGAATGAATGAATAAATGAATCTTCAGAGGGACAACAGAAGAAATCCCAAGGGTAGTTGCCAACATAAGAGAAAAGAGGGCAAAGGGCAAATCTTTGGGAAAATATTTAAATTAAGGGCAAAAGAGGCACTCCAAAGGAAGTGAAATCTCAGCCCCAGTTAACTAGGCATGAAGAGAACATGGCACACATTGAGGTACCCAGCAAGGGAAGTGTCAAGCTGGGCCCATCTCTCTGCCCCAACTATAAGAATGTTTTCAAATTGCGAACTGAGCACACACCAAAAACGCCAGACATGACAAATCAACCTCTCAGCCCAAGGAGGTGCTGTCTCCTGTTATCTTGAAAGTTTCATTTAAAAAGGGTTCAAACCAGGATCCCGAGGCCACAGCGATGCCTAGAGCGCTGTCACTTCTGAGCCGAGACAAAGCGCAGCTCTAGGACGCCCTGGGAATCTGAATGGGCTGCTTGTGGCTCTCCTTTAGAAGTCAAGGCCTGATTCTTAAGAAAACAGTCAGATGCTAGAGAGTGACCTCTTTTATTAGGTTCACCATCTTAGCCACAGAGAGACTATAGTGTTTGTCCATAGCCTGAAATACTCAAAGGCTGGAGTGTTGAAAAGAGGGCAATCCTTCAGGTCTCTGTCGCCATTAATCCTGGTCCTGCTGGCCTCTCCCTTTTGCATCAGAAAAGCTTTCTTGTATTTTTTTTTTTTTAAAGAAGGGGAGAAAACAGCTGTGTGGGATTTGAGAATGGGATTTTAATGGTCACTGAAGACACACAAAAGCTTTGCTATGATCGTGAAGTGTTCTGGGGGCAATTGACTCCTTTGTCCCAGGCAGCAAAACAAGCTGGCTGCTGGAGGAGAAAAGAGAACCAACTGGAACGTGTGATTGAGGTCTCTTCAGGCCAGATCTTCAGCACATTTGCAAAGAGCTGTTTTCAGACGTCTCTTCATGACATTTCAGAATAGCTTTTTAGTGTTTAGCCCGTTTTTACTTTGTGAAAGAAACAAATTAACGTGGAAGGTGCTTGGCATGAATTATTTCGGTAGGTCTTTCTCTCTGGAAGGAAAATGGAAGCTGTGAGTGACAATATGAGTTTGTTTATGTGAAGCAGGCCTTTCACTGTGAGAAAAAAAGAACTGGTGCCCTCCTTTCCTCAGGGCAGCCCAAGGGGCATTTCTCAGCCCTTTGCTCAGCTGAGAAATTGCAACAGATGTGGGATATTGTGAGGCTTCTCAAAATGTTATCTTGAAAACGCTTTGGCGGGGGAGGAGGGTGTTAAATAGTTCTAAGGAGGAACGGACACCCAGAGCAGCAGGAGCCCATCCAGTTACTCTTTTCAGTGAGAACTGGGTCCCTTGTCGTCCACCCATGGAAGGCGGACAGAGAAACTGTGATGGGACAGACCATACTGATCTGGCTCTAAGTTACAATTACTGGGGCTGTTGGAGTCATTGCCATCATAGAGCACTTTCCCTTTAGGGCGAATGAGTGTTATGCAAACAGCTGTTTCCTAAATGGAAATGGCTTAGGCTAGAGGGGTTCCAGACAGCCTAGGTTTTAGTTACTTTGTGTCAGTCTTCATGACATTTGGCCTGTTAGAACCATGGAGGGGTTATTCTCTCATTTACTGGCTTGCTGTAGGCATCGGGATAATCAGGTAGGGCACAGAATAAACAGTCATGAATCCCTAGTACATAATTCAGTCTAGCTTTTCGGGGGAGCTGAGCTGAAATCAGAGTGATCGTGGAAACCAGCAGGGCTGCATTTAGAGAATAAGTCTAGAGTTACAGGCTTTGTCTGCCACGGATCTATGCATCATACTCATTACAATGTTGTCTGCCAAAAAGCAAGTTTGGTTCACTTTCGATTTTTTTAAAAAAATCAAATCAAAATTATACGTGACGCTGTAAAAGGAAATCCAAACGATATAAAAAAGTATTAACACTTAGAATGTAGAGTAGACCTTATTGATTGATCGCATTTATAGAAATAATATTTGAAATGTGGTTTATTTTGGCTTACTTTGATTTTTTTAAAAGCCTCATTTTAAAAAAATTATAGAGAATAATGAAAAGACATTTTTATTACTGGCAATAGAGAACTTTGTCATGTTTAACTCTATAAGCATATATACAGATTACTTTTGTAGGATAGAATAAAAACAGATATCCCCCCTTACAACTATTCCAAGAGATATAATAACTAATTTTATCATTCGATATTTTGTTTTCTATTTCTTGGTATCTTAAACATAAAAGAGAATGTGTTTATTTCAGTCATACTTCCCTAATGCCCCATAGAGAATCCTTGGCAAAGTCTTAAATTGTGATGCAGTCTGCGTTTTTGTTAAATGACCTTTTCTTCCCTTAATCTCAAAGCTCTTGATCTCACTGTAGGTGTATTTCCCAGATTAGCTGTGAGAACGTGACAAAATTATTTAATGTTCCTAAGTCTTTGTTTCTGTAAAATAGAGCTAATAATAGCACCTAGCTCCTTAAGGTTGTTTTTAGGAATAAATGAGATACTGTAAGTAAAGCTTTTGGCATGGCGTACAGTGGATTGTATGTACTCAACAGATGTTAGCTATTAGGCTCTTTTAGTGGTTATGCTGATGATATTTGAATATCATACTAGAAACACAATTCAATATATTTACTTTATATTTATATCCTACAATAAGATATAAATCCACATTTAACTAACAACACCAGAAATGTAATCAGAAGCATAGTTATTAATTTCCTTGTAGTTTGTTCTTTCGGGAGATATTGATGAGGATTTACTCTTTGTAGCATATTAATTTTATTCCAAATATGAATTGTGCTATTTTGGAGAGCTTCTCTGTAAGACCCTTGAGATCACTCTCCCCTCAGCCACCAGAGAATGACCTTTTCATAGCATAACTTCTGGTCTCATTCCTCTTCTTTCATTGGCTCCTCTACCTGCAGAATAAAATCTAAATGCCTAGCATTTAAGAAATTTTTTAATCTACCCCAAACCTTCCTTTCTTCCCTCTCATCCCATGTGTCATGCATGAATCTTTATGACCTGCCCGCTTTCCTACCTGGGGAGAGTCTAGTCATCCTTCAAGGCCTGATGCAAATGTGGCCTCCTATAAGAAACCTTCCAGGATGCCACCAGCCAGAATTAAAATTACCCTCCTCTCTGTTCTTCCCTTACTAGGCCTATCTATGTTCAATGAATGATTTTCACTTTTATAATCCTTCTGGCAGTCCTGTGTAGTAGGGAGAGTCATCAAGTGCTTGTGCTCAAAAATAATTAGGACCACCATGACCCCTGCCCCCACCATTGTGATCCCCCAAGGACCACCATGATCCCTGCCCCCAAGGAGCTCATGGTCTAGGGTAAGAAGACCCATTAATGCCTCTAACAGGTAGGTAACAGGAATCATGGCAGAGAGGGTATTCAAAGGGAATATAGAGGTGCTGCACATTCTGTATCCAGGGGGTTTGTATGGGGTAATGTGGGGTCATTGCCATTTGTGTACCTTCATCTGTAGCATTCACATTGCCCCTCCTTAGCCTCTGTCTTATCACTGACCAGATCATTTTCTCCTTTGGCTAGTCAGTTGCAGGGCTGGGACATATTATGATGGAGTACAAGAACGCTGCATTTTGTGTCCAAATGGAACCTTCCAAAATGAGGAAGGACAAATCACATGCGAACCATGCCCAAGACCAGAAAATCCTGGGGCCTTGAAGACCTCAGAAGCTTGGAATGTGTCTGAATGTGGAGGTAAGCATTCTGCCTACCCCTTCTTGCTCTTCTAGTCCCCAGTATCATTATTTATATAGGAGGCATAAGTACATTTCAATATAGACAGTGCACACTGCTCCAGGGGCCATATCGGGTTCCTCCCTGGCTCTCCCGTGCCTGACTCAGTGCCTGACACTTGCCGGGTAATGCCCACTTGAATAAATAAATGACAATCTGATAAAATACATCGGCAGAAAAAAGTGTAAATGTTGCAATCACATGCTTTATTCACTATAAATAAATATACCCTAAGACCTGAGTGATCTGCTAGTACATAGAGACTATTGAAAGTATTAAAATGGAGAAAGTAGTTCTGATTATTTTTCTAGCTTTGGTCTCAGATTCATAGCATATTGATATTTTAATAGGATCCACCTGATTGTTAAAAAAAACTCTGTGAAGAGTTTTCAATTGTCTCTTATAAAATGTTAACTCTGGAGCCAAGCTTACTTAGGTTCAGTTGGGCTTCTTTCCTATTTATTAACAAATGTCTTCCCTTTTATTAAATAGAAGAAGGATCAGCTGTATTGACACTGTGGGCTCAAATGGAAGGTGATCTGAGATGGAGATTTGTGGGTGTATATGTGGCACAGTGCGCAGGGCCCCCTGCAGCTCTGGCCTCTCCTTCCAGTGATGCCCAGAGCCAGCTTTAGTTCCCACCTAAATGACCCCAAGTTCAACTGCAGGACCTGTTCTGTTTTAAAAGTCAGATCCTCCGATTGAATGTAACTCCTACCACATCTTTGGCCTGTTATGAAATCCTAGAACTAACTGCAAAGTTGATGAGGAGGTACTTTGGGGCATGTGTTCACACTTATATGTGACCTTTATATTTATAAATATAAGAATATAATAATAATAATAATAACTAACGTTTATTGAATACCTATCTATGCCAGGCATCATGCTAAGTGTATTACATAAACTTTTTATATGGTCGTTGTTTCACGATAACAACTTTATGATGTTAAAGTGACTCCTTCAAGGTCACACAGCCAAGGAGTGGAGGATTTGAAATCAGAAGCCAGGTGTGACAGGTTCCAGACTCCTCACTTGGGTGTGTGTTCATTAAATGCCACTAAAACCCTAACTTATGGGTAGAAAGAAGACTATGAAAATTAATAGAGGAGAGTCTACGGCCATGCTACCCTGAACAAGCCCGATCCCACCTGATCTCGGAAGCTAAGCTGGGTCGGGCCTGGTTAGTACTTGGTTAGTACTAGGAAGACCAGGTGCTGTAGGCGTAAAACATAAAAAAATAAGGGATTGTAAGATGACAAGCTCCTTGCAATCTGTGAGGTCAACCAAGGGTTGCCTCGCCTAAAAAAAAAAAAAAAAGAAAGAAAATTAATAGAGGAGAGATGATTAGGAATACAAGTGACAACAGATTTTTATAGCATCTTGCCTATGATGAGCTAGTTGTCATAGAAGCTGTGCTCCTTGTCATAAACTAAAAAAATAGTAATAAGATAAGGTGCTTAAAGTAAAGGCCACTTGGTTCCTCAGTCAATGTGAATTGGTTGCTTGGATTTCATAGACTAATTGAGGGAGGCCAGGACACACCTGAGGGTAAGGAGATGTAACATAGTAAATATAATTGGTAAAACAGGAGATTCTTCTGTGACTGGAAGAGTCTTTCTATCAGTAGGATGTACTCAGCTGGGTGAGGGTATACTTCTGGGTTGAATGACCAGATTGGTTTGAGAGCTGAGAACCCTCTCTCTGGGGTCTTCTGCATTGCAGGTGCTGCCTGGGCCCTGTGCAGTCCTAAGCCTGAAGCACACCCAGGCCTGCTCCATGCTTGGGAAGCAGTCAGCATTTGGCTCCTTGGAGACATCTTTGCACTTTACTATGTAGCCCTCTGGGTAAACATCAGGCACTCACATGCCACCTACTCGGGGTCAGTGGCAGGGCAGGACAGGGCTTCTGTCATTGAGGTGGGGGCTGAGTCAGCACAGACTGTCAGGCCTGTCCAAAGTCTGATGTCATCTGCAGAGAGATGGGAAAGGATCTCTGCCCTGGGGGCCTTGCTCACTTAGGGTCATTGGTCTCCAGGTCTGTGCCAACCTGGTGAATATTCTGCTGATGGCTTTACACCCTGCCAGCTCTGTGCCCTGGGCACATTCCAGCCTGAAGTTGGCCGTACTTCCTGCTTCTCCTGTGGTGGAGGCCTCCCCACTAAACATCTGGGAGCCACTTCCTTCCAGCACTGTGAAACCAGAGGTGAGGATGTGGCAATTTGCCTTTTTCCAGAACTGAATTTCCCATTTGAGAACCACAGGAGTCTGACGAAGCTCTGATGAAGCCCAGCCCAGAGGGGCCCTGGGTGGTGCCCCACTGGCTGGGATGTCAGGTCCCGCTTTATCCACCCCTGCAGGATATGCAGGGAGCACGGGAATCCCCTAAACATGGCTGGAGGGACAACCAGGGAGAGATGAGCAGGTGTACACAGGTTCCCCAGCTTCTTCCTCCCAGCCTTCCTCCCTCTCAGCACTCTTACCTAGAGCGACCCACCATCCCACCCTGACACGTCCTACCCCTTCTCCAGAGCCCTACTCCTGCTGCCTCTTGTAGGAGCCCAGGTTCACACCCAGTGTCAGTTCTGTACCCTCAATACTCACAAACATGCTCTGCATGAAGACGAGTTGTAACTGTTTATTCCTGACTCTGCATGGACCACAAACTTTTTGAAGATACAGCCATACTTTGTTCCCTTTGTGTTTTTCTTAGCAACATGAGTCACAAGTTCCACCTAGGCTGGCTATTTAGAGAATTAAGTGTTGATTAGCCACAGATTAGTAGGAAAGCAGTACTTCATTTGGGATAAAAATTGATTTCATTAACTGTGACATCTTTTATCTTGCATTGGATAAAAATACATTTTTTTTCATTCTTTCCACTCATTCCTGTTTGCACAGTTCAATGTTCTCCTGGACACTTCTACAACACCACCACTCACCGATGTATTCGTTGCCCAGCAGGAACATATCAGCCTGAATTTGGAAAAAATAATTGTGTTTCTTGCCCAGGAAATACTACGACTGACTTTGATGGCTCCACAAATATAACCCAGTGTAAAAGTAGGTCTCTCTCTAAGGCTTTTCACAGCGCTAATTACAAAGTCAAGTGCCTGGGTCCGTGTGTGTGTGTGTGTGTGTGTGTGTGTGTGTGTGTGTGTGTGTGTGTGTGTGTGTGTGTGTGTCTGTGTGTGTCTGTGTGTGTCTGTGTCAAGGATCTCAGGTTCATTCAGAACCATGTACATGTTCTTAGCCCAGCTCACGACTTTGTAGACCAGCACTGAAAGAGAGCAGGGCTTGACCCCCAGGTAGTCACCTTTATTGATTCTGGCTACTTCTCTAGGCACATTCACAGGCCTGTAGTTGCTGTAATTTCCTCCGAAGGGCAAAATTTCAATTCATCCCTGTTCAGCCAGCATTATTTCAGGACTGCTATGTGCCAGGCAGAACAAGTCCCTAGCCTCTCAGGTAGCACAAGCTGTGGGATCGTGAAGGACGGAGCAACTCATTCTGTCTGGAGAAATGAGCAAAGTCTTCTGGAGGGCATGAGAAGGTTTTGGTGGGGAGACTGTGGGGAGAGCAGGAGAAAAAGCTTTATGCCTAAGAGCGTAGCTGGGAGGAAGCACAGCCTCAGAAAAGCAAAATGCTTTTGGGGAAGAGACTCCAGGAAGGGAAGCCTTGAATACTACAGTAAGGAGTTTGATTGGTATTTTATGAGAATGAGGAAGCACATCATTCAATGACTTCTTGTCGTGTTGTTTGTTTGTTTGTAACCATTGTGTAAAATTCTCTAGTAAAGGCCAAAAAGTAAATCTCAGCTGATTTGGTCTCATTAAGACAGCAATGTTGAGGAGCAAGGAGGCTTCCCTAAACTGGAGGAGTTTGGGATTGACAGGGGCGGTGAATCATTTCAATTTTATGATTGGAAGATTATCTAGTTTTCTCTCTATCCCAATGAAGTCCCTTTAACCATATCTTCACAAGTAGCCCTCTAATCTCTTCTCGAATACTTGGCATAACAAGAATCTTACTACCTGTCATGATATCCTAGATTTGGGGAAGTTCACAGTGTTGGAAGGTTCTTCTCCACACCAAGATGAAATCTGTTTCTTGTCCTCCCACCCTCTGCTCTTTGGGAGCCACATGGCATGTTCCTTCAGGCTCGAAGGCAATTTTTTCAACTCCAAGGCTTTCCCTTCCCCATCCTCTAAGAAGAAAAGTCTGCTTATTTTTTTTTTACTGGAGTAATAAATCCCAGTTACAATTAAAAAGGAAAAGGGTAATTTCTTTAACATTTTCTCTTGCACAGATTCACCTGACAGTTTTAAACAATAAATCCTTTGAGGGCAAGGATTGTGTCTTTCTCATTTCTGAACCCCCAGAGCTTTTGATAACATTTGTTGGATGAGGAAAGTCAATGAATGAATATGTGGCTGAGGGGTGTGTTTGTCTGTGTGTGTGTGCGCGTGCGCATGAGCACGTGTGTGTGTGTGTGCGTGTGTTCACTCCTTGTCTTTGGTGCCAGAGGTGAATATCTAGCCTGCCCCATACTGACTGATAGCTAATTAGAATTCTCTTCCCCACTTAAAAATAAAACATGGTCTTGATCAGAGAAAAAAGCGAAAGAATATGGCTGTCATGTCTTCATCAAAGATCTCTAGGAAAGGGTTAAATGTCCTCTACTGAGCAGTAAGCTCTGTTCTCCCAGATTTTGACAGACCTAGAGGTTCTGTGTCATGGTTCCCCTGGCACTTGGACTTTGTAAACAAAATATTGAAAACTAAAGTTGTCCTTTTGTTTCACAAACGCCTGCCCCTGACCTTGAGCACCGTTAAGCTAAAAAGAAAATGATGCCTGAGAACTCAGAAGGGTGGGCTCTGTGTGGGGAGCGAATGTAGCTAGGCTCCCAGAGGGGACCCTGGGCATAACAGGACAGATTCAATCCCAGGATACTATCATTTCCAGGCCCCATTCCTCAATGACAAAAGGGACACAGTGGTTCTCAGTGGCTATGGCAGAGTGATGTTGTGCCTTTATAACTCATGGCATTTCCTCTTCCAGACAGAAGATGTGGCGGGGAGCTGGGAGATTTCACCGGATACATCGAATCCCCAAATTACCCAGGCAATTACCCGGCCAACACTGAGTGTACGTGGACCATCAACCCGCCCCCCAAGCGCCGCATCTTGATTGTGGTCCCTGAGATCTTCCTGCCTATAGAGGATGACTGTGGAGACTACCTGGTGATGCGGAAAACCTGTGCGTCCTACCCCTCTGCTCCCCCCCGCCTCCCAGGGCCAGCTGGGAAGCCTGATGACATGCCCCCCACCACCCAGCTTTCAATGTGAGAACCAGATCTAGAATATCACCTTTGTATTAGAATAGAGATGAGTCATAAGTTTTTAGAGTTTGCCAAGAAACAAAATTTAGACAAAAACCACACACTGAGGCCTCTTGCTGAACCCCAGTGGGATTCCTGCAGGTCAGTCTTTGCTCTGTGCTTGCTGGGTACCTTCTTCCACAAGGACACAGAGAATCGATGAAGCTCATGCATGGCTGGACCTGGACACTTACCTCACTCTAGGAATTAACTCGTGGCGTGGGAACTGACCAAAGCAAAAGGCATGGTCCAGCCAGGAAGAACCCTCCTCCCATCTTGACACATGACCCAGTGTCCACAAAGGGACTCTGCAGTCAGCACAGCTTAGAGATAGTGTAGTGAGTGGGCTCCGCGGCTAGACTGCCTGGGTCTGACTCCCAGCTCCACTTCTTATTAGTTCTGTGGTCTTGGGCATACTTTTTGGGTTTTCTTTGCCTCAGTTTCCTCATCCATTAAAATGTGATAATGTTGTTACCTCATAGGGTTATCACGAGGAATAAATGAGTTCATATTCATAAAGCATATGTGTTTGCTGTTCTTATTAGTGGTTTCAGTGTCGGAAGACAGGTGTGGGTCTTGACTTTTCCACGTACTGGCTGTGTGACCCTGGCCAGGTGCTTAATCTCTATAAATGAGACAACAACTGAACCAGCTTTCTACAGTTTTCAGAGAGTTAGTTAGATAAAGTTTATAAAGTGCGTAGCACACTGCCTGGTCCTAGGACGCATGTAGTAGTTGGCGGTAATTATTACTAGGTTACAGCAGGTCAGCTCTGGGATGTAAGGACTCCTTCCCCAGCTCCTAGTGTGCTGCAGCCTGGGCTGCTGCCATTCGCTTGGCCACAGGCCTTTCAGTTAGCCTCCCCTGGAGGCCCACATCACCAAATGCATCTACTCAATTTCCCGGACTTTAGCTCTTATGATGGCTCGGCTGGGCCTGAAGAGCTCTTGAGCATAATTTGTTTTATAGTGTGAGCATTTGAAAAAATAAATGTTCATCGTATGCCTACTCAGTGATGAATTTTGAACCCTACCCCTCTCTAACTTCCCTTGGCAGCTTCATCCAATTCTGTGACGACATATGAAACCTGCCAGACCTATGAACGCCCTATTGCCTTCACCTCCAGATCAAAGAAGCTGTGGATTCAGTTTAAGTCCAACGAAGGGAACAGCGCCAGAGGGTTCCAGGTCCCCTATGTGACATATGATGGTAAGTGCTATGAAGCTGGGGCTGCCTTTGGAGAAGGCTCTACTTGGGAGGAGCATCTCTGCTTTGAACAGAATCAACTTCTGGGCCAACTGGTGGATTAATGACCAGCGCACATGCCCAGAAAGTCAGGCAAGATAAGGACAAAGGACATTGCTGACTCATAAGTGCCAAATTTTAAACCGGCATTTGGGAACGCTGACTACTGGAATGAAAAGATGTTTTAGAAAATAAAAGGGAGCATAGCTTGGTGGGTAAGAACATGGGCTTTGGAGTCAGCTCGCCTAGTTTTATCTCTATTGTGATTTTGTGTATGTTACTTACAATCTCTAAGCCTCATTTTCTTAATGGGCAAATGATGATAATCATTAAACTTAATGTAAGAGTTCAATGGGAATATATCTGATGGACTTGGTGCAATGCCCAGCACATAGTAAATACTCAATAAATATTAACATAATTGTGGCTTTTATTAAAAGGAATCCTGAGGAGAGGGGAGAAAGACTCAAGTTCTGGCCCTATGTTTACCACTAACTCACTGAGTGATTTTGGGCAAGTCAGATGACTTCTCTGGTTTCATTTTCTTCTTGTTAAATGAAAGGATATCTTTGGAGCCCTACTTAGCTCTGACACTTTGTTGACCAACATTTACTAAGAATAGAAAATAAACTGGACCTTGTCCCAGAGGACCTCATAATCTATAGGGGAAGAGTCATCTGTTCATTCATGAACTTATTCATTCATCCATCCAACAAATATTTAATGAGCATCTACTGTGCCAGGCATTGGGCTAAGTGCTGGAGACAACATGGTAAGTGATAGAAACATAAAAAAGTATATTTGTCATAGATGCTATAATGGGGCATGTACTATCCTCTGTGTGAAGATAGAAGAAGTGGCAACAGTTAATTTTGCATGAGTTTTTGAAAGATTTGGAGAAGAGTCTCAAGAGATTTGGATCTAGAAAGAACATGAGATTTTTGTTTTGTTTTATAAATGGGAGGAAGAACACTCACGAAGAAGGAATGACAAAGTACTTGGCATGTGTGGAGACTGATGATTTGGCCAGTTAGTCGAGTGCATGGGACTTAGCGCTGAGAGATGAGATTAGGAGGGGATGGGGGTTAGGCTGTGAGTGCCAAACTTAGAAGAGTAAATCTAATCGTATAGGGAGCCATTGAAGGTGTTTAGACAGACAAGTGCCCAAAGTAGGTCTTTTGGAAAGAAAATATTCTATGGATTTCCTAAAAACACTTCACATAGTTTATTTCTAATGTATTCCAAAAGCTAGGATCATCCTCTCTGCACCAGAAACCATGTCAAATACCCAAGACATGGGCTCTTAGTATCGGACTCCTAGGTAGACACAAGTGCCTCCCACAGGGCCCTGCTGAAAGACAGAGTGCCTCATCTACCTGAAAGCAGCCAACTGAAAACCTCCCCTATCTGGAATCAAGAAGGAACCAAAACGTGGAGACTCTAGAATAAGTGTCATAAAAGCTCACATAGTTTAGTCTGGCTGTTCTGAACTCTGCCTTTGTGATACAAGAAAACATCTTGATTTTTTAAAAAATTAAAGACAAAAGGAAATTACACATAACCCTGGTCAGGCCCACAGGAGTGCGTCTTGCACATGTTACAGCAGAAAGTAGTTGAAAATTGCTGCTTTGGCCATACAGAAGACATTTAGGTCTTCACCTAGAGCCTATTTAATATATTTTTTAAACATATGTTTCAGATAAGTTTGATATATGGTTTCTAAGCTCAGAAGAACAGATATCACATTTAAAAAGGGCAGATGAGGCCTCTGTAGACTGTCCCACTGACTGCTGGGGAACAGGGAGAACTGTAGTCATGACTAATGTGGGCTGAGCATCACTGAGCACCAGGCACATGTGAAGTGCCTTTGACATGGCATATTCCTCACAATCACCCATAAAATAGACACGATTCTTTCCTAATTTTACAGATGAAGCCACTCTGGTGTGAGATTTAGCTGGCCCAAGGTCATAGCAGCATAAAGTTGCAGAGGTCTTTGGGGCTATAGGTCTTGAGTTCTTGCCTATAATACCTGACTGCTTTGTTCATGACTGTTAGAGCAAGTGGGGAGACACAGTAGTTCTTAAAAGCAGAGGAAATATTTTTAAAAGGGAGTGGTCTGGAAGCATTTGATATAGTGGTAAACAGCTCTCCAGCTCTCTCTGAAGCAGAACATAGCACAGCAAATGCCCATCATCAAAAGGAGCTAGTCCTCTGAGGTAGGGACTCAGCAGCAGAGGCATTCAAGATAAAAAGCATGTGCCCTTACTCATATTTTATACTCACTAAAATAAAAGCATAAGGAGAAAGATGCCACATGAATAGAGTACTAGTGAGATTGCATATGTGTTAAATTGTAATTATGAGTAGTATACTATTAATTTCCATTTACAATCACTTGACGAGGGGACGCTTTTTCAAGAACTCCTCCCACACAGTTCCAGTGACGTTCTTATGATTTGTTTGGTTTTGTTGCACATGATATGCATACAAAGAGGCATTTTTTTTTCAGCAAGATTGTGTTTTGCATATGCTTGATTTGAATTATGACTGTAGGAAATAGACTAGACTTTGAAGGGGTTCCATGTGGAGAGGGCTTACACTGTGTGCTCTGCATTTAATGTGTATGTCAGGACCCAAAATTATTAATGAGAAAATGAGTAACTTTCTTCCCTTTCCAACCAGCCAAATTCTCCCCACCCCTAACCCCATTCAAGAAAAAGGAGAGAAAGGTCTTGCTTGGTGGATAAGAAGCTTGATAGTTTTATATAATGTAAGGACAGAGAGAAAAAAAAGGAAGAGGAGAGAAAGGAGAAAAGTAGAGAGGGAGAGAAGAGCCATGAGCCTGGATGAGCTCACCAGGGAGTGAGTATAGACAGAAAAGAGATGACAATCAAGCACTGAGCTCTGGGACCCTCCTACAATAATAGGTCAGGAAGAGAAGAAGGAAAAGCAACAGAGCCTCAGACAAAGAAACCATTGGGGTACAAGGAAAACCAAAGAGTGTGGTGTCCTGGAAGCTGAGTGAAGAAGTGGATCAAGGAGGAGGGGTAATTCGTCAAATCAAATGCTACTGATGCATCAAGGAAGATAAGGATTGAGAGTTGACCTTTGGGATTTAGCAACATGAAGGCCATTGGTGACCTTGACAAGCAGTTTTGGGTGAGTGGTAGAGTCCAAAGCTGACTGGACTGGGTTTGAGAAAGAAAGAAATCAGAGACAAAAATCAGAGACAGTGAGTGTTCACAATTCTTTCAAGGCGTTTTGCTACAGATGGGAGCAGAGACACAGGATGGAAGCTGGAAGGAGAAATGAGGTCAAGAGAGGGACTTTTTTTTGGATTGGAGACATAACAGCATGTTTGCATGCTGAAGGAAGAGACTAGTAGAGAGAGGACATTTTATTATATAGGAAAGAAAGAGCAGAATTACTGGAACAATGCCCTTGATTTTGTGAGAGAAGATGGAGCCAGTGAGCAAAGTGGAAGGATAGGCCTTGACTGGATGCACAGAGGGTTTATCTGAAGGAAGACAGAACAGGAAAGATGGGTGCCAATGCTGGAAGGTGAAAGGATGTGCTGGGGAGTCTATGGATGTTATCTTCTGATTGCCTCCCTGATAGCAGAGGTCGTTGTTCTGACAGCAGCTACAGAAGGAGCATTTCTCAGAACCTTATTTAAAAAAAAGGAAAGAAAAACTGAGTTTGGAAGTAACTAAACCATACAAATGTAAAATATGTCCTTTCTTCCAATAGAGGACTACCAGGAACTCATTGAAGACATAGTTCGAGATGGAAGGCTCTATGCATCTGAGAATCATCAGGAAATACTCAAGGTGAGTATGTACCGAAGGTGGACATGGCAGTCATGCACAGAGCTTCCGAGCAACCTTCAGAGGAAGGTCTCCTTGCTCTGTATTGCCATCTTTCAGACACCTAGCCTGCTCTGGGCTGAGCTCAGTTTTATATCTTCACTAGACTTCATTAAAAAAAAATTTCACGAGGCTGTCTGTAGTGTTGTCAAGTGAAGTTGTATTTTTTCAATTTGGAAATGTGTGGAAGAGCAGTGGGAAACTTGTTTATCATAAATCCAGGGCAGCAGCAAATTGTTTTCATGTTTGTTCTCCAAATAGTTGAAGATCCTCAGCTCCTCCATCCTTCAAGCATGAAATTCACCAAATTTTAGATGCTTATAAGTAATTTCAATAAGCACTTGCCATGTCACTAACCCAATAAATATTCCCTAAATGCCAATGTTGCTTGCATCTTGTCTGGTTTAGAAAAAGAAAACAGTTTTTTATATATTAAGTCTTCCTTTATAAAAGCAATACATGCTTTTTGTTGATAATTAGGAAAAATAAAAACTAGAAAAAAGTTAAAACTCAGTTTTTGAAAAACAAAGTGTTTTTCAGCTAATCAGCCTAACACTGGGTCATTATAGTTCCATTGGCAAAATTTCAGAATGTTTAAATATTTTGGCCCAGTAACAAAACTTCTGTTCATTTTAGGATAAGAAGCTGATCAAGGCACTGTTTGATGTCCTGGCCCATCCCCAGAACTATTTCAAGTACACGGCCCAGGAGTCCCGGGAGATGTTTCCAAGATCTTTCATCCGATTGTTGCGTTCCAAAGTGTCCAGGTTTTTGAGACCGTACAAATGAGTCTGCCCACATGCCACTTAGTTCCATGTTCTGCCTGTGGGCTGGTGGGACACAGCTGTCTGCTTCCGCAGCCAGCATAGTCAGATATCACTGCCTCCAGTAGCAGTGACTCGTTAGAGTTCCATTTTTATAGATAATACATATATTTTGGTAAAATGAACTTGGTTTTTCTTTCTCAGCATTGTGAATGTGGACTGAGAAAGGCTTGGAGTCATACCCGCTCCTCATTGCTGTGGGCAGATATGTCTTAGATACATCAAGGGCTGGCTGAGCTGGACCTCAGTCAGCTCAGGTGAGACTCACCTGTCCTTCCTGGTTCTCACTCCTCCCCAAGTGGGCTGTGGTGGAAAGGAGGCCACAGAAGGGGCTGCCTCACCTGAAACCTCAGCTTCCTCCAGCCCAGCCCTCCCTAAGGGAGCTCTCTGCATCCAGGTACAAGCTCTGACCACGCAGATCAGGAAAAGGGAGGTAGGGGAGAGGAGGGAGGGAGAGCCCTCTAGACGCCATCCACACACCTGAGACCTGGTAGGACTCTGTTTCTCCGCAGCCTTCTTCTCCAGGTTGTGTGGCCTAAGTTTGATCCCAGGATCTTGAGTTCTAAGCATTGATCATTAAAATACACTTAAAACAGAAAGAATTAGAAATAAAAAGATAAAAACTAAGTAATTCCTCAGACTTAATAATGTAGACCAATTGACAGCCTTCTTTGTTGCCATCTTCCACTCTGTAGCAAAGGCCCAGTGCAGGTTTTATCCCTAGCGATGTCTTTAGACACTCTTCTGGACACGGTGATGGGGCCTGGAGAGCGGGTCGGACATGATCTCCTTGGTGGATGAGAATTCATGAAAAGGAGACTTTACAAACCTTGAGTCATACTGCAAAGGGTCCTGTTTCCACAGTGGGCTTCCCACCAGGGCTGTCCGAGGTCCAGGTGGGACGTGGTAAAGACCAGCCTGTTATATTTGCCTTGTTTTCTCACCCTCCAGGGTGAGAGACTGGCTCAGCTCTGAGGACATGAGCAGCGCTGCTAAGGGTAGTCTCTCTTAATGGTCACATCATTGCCAGAGGCATCTACACAAATCCTGGCCTCTGAGTACCGTGGAATCATCTCACTTGTGGTCAGCACAACAGGGCCTCACAATCATTTTCTTCTACAGGAACTTGAATTTTTAATATTATTGTATTTTTAAAAATTTAAATCCATAGGCAAAAATCTCATTACAGTGAATAAAAAAGAATCCTATTGAGCAAGCTGCCATTTCCCTAATGAATGGGCTGACTACACATAAACATAGTGTTTTGTTATTTTGGTAATAAACTGTACACACAATTCTCTATACCAAAGTACTAAAAAATAGTTAACAAATATTTTTAAAGAAAACAAAGACTTTTATTATTGTTGAACTCGCTTTTTACCTCAGTGGTTTTGTGGTTTATTTTAACCTATTAATAAGATTGATTAAAAAAAGAACCCTAATCAAACTTTTCTTCTTTATTTGGATGGCTCCTAAATTCTCATTTCTAAATTTCAACACCTTCATTAAAATATGAAGGTGTTCAAATTTTTGAAGAGAAATAATCATTAAAACAAGCACTTGGAATTTGTAATACCAGAACTTTGCCCACATTTCTGAGTCAAATGTAATATAACTTGAGTCAGGGACCTGACCAATGGGGAGGTGGGTGAGCTAAACCAAGCCATCCTGTCCAAGCTCATAACTGTGTGAATCTGTATGGCTGATTTCACAAGAAGGCTAGGGACAGAAATATGCTGGGTGTTGGAGGAAGGCTGCATAAACCTCATCTCTGTGAAGCATCCTCCAGGAATAGACCCATCCACCTTAGCTGTGCTCCTCGTACAAGCATGAGCCACTGAGGCCCTCCTCAAGCTTCCTCTCTCTCCCAGTCAACCAACCTAACTGACGCTGTGGTCCTGTTGGATGCCTGGGGCTGCTGTTGCCACCTGCTAAATCAAATATTTATTGAACATCTGCTATGTGCCAGATATTCTTCTAGGCCCTAGGGATGCACAGTGACAAGACAGACAAGATTCTTACTCTCAAAGAACTTACATTTTAGAGGAAGGAGACAGACAATGAACAAATAAATCACCAATGAAAAGTATCAGCTAGTAGTAAGTGTTATGTGGAAAATTAAAATAGGTTAATGTAACAGATGACTGTGTGGCTACTTTAGGATTGTGGACTGTGGATGGCCTCTCTAGAGAACTAACATTTTAACTAAAAACTAAATAGCAAGAAGGAACCAGCCTTGGGAAAATGAGGGGAAAGAGCATTCCATATAGAGGAAAGCCAAATGCAAAGGCCATCACGCAGGAAGAGGCATGTATGTGGATCACAGTCTAGTGAGAAGGTGAGTGGTACGAGACGAGGCCAGGAAGCTGCACAGGGGCCAGAGCACGTCAGGCTTTGGAATCCCAAAAGAGGGGTTCAGGTTTACTTCTAAATGTGTTGTGAAGCTTTTAGAGGGGTTTAAGTAGAGGCATGGGATGACCTGATTTATGTTTTTAAAGGATAGCTCTGGTTACTGTATGAAGAATAGATTTTCGAAAGCAGGCATGGATGTAGAGAGCTATTGCAACCAACCAAGCAGTCATCCAGGTGGGAGATGAGGCTGTCTGGGTTAAGGAAGTAGCGCTAGAGATGAAAGAATAGAAGGATTCTGGACATATTTCAGAGGAGAGTCAACAGAACTTGCTGAGGAGGATTGACTGGAAGGGGAAGGGAAAGACAACAACCAAAGATGACTCCTACTTACCTGAGCAACTGATAGAAAGACTGCAGGGAGAAGCAGGTTTGGGACATGTGACAGTTTTCAAACATGTCCGCAGATTCTTTGATTATCCTTTCATGGAAAGTTGGGGGTCTTTTCCCACTCCCCTTGAATCTGGGCTCTGTGACTGCTTGACCAATATTATATGGCAGAAGTCACATTTTACCAGTTTCTGGGCCCAGAACTTAAGCCACTGGCAATTTCCACTTCCTCTCTTTGGGAAACTCACATGGAGAACTGAGTCACCATACCTTCAGGAAGCCATAGCAGCTTGCGGAGAGGCCATGTGGATAGGAACCAAGTCTCCTGCCTCCAATACAACCCAGCCGAGTTCCCAGCTGACAGCAGAACCTGCCAGCTATGTAAGTGAGCTATCTTAGAAATGGATTCTCCAGCCCCAAGCTGAGCTTTCCCAGCAGATGCTTCACAGAGCAGTCCCTGTTGAGCCAAAATTACAGACTTGTGAACAAAATCAATGATTTATTGTCATTTTAAGTCACTGGTTTTTGGGGTGATTATTTATGCAATAATAAGACATTGAGAAAGAGAAGATCAGGAGTCAAATTTTCGCCATTCTAAGTATGAGGTGCCTATTAGACATCCAAATGGAGAGTTCAAATAGGCAATTGGTTCTGTGAAGCCCCACGAAAGGTCAGGAATAGAATATGAATTTTAATGTCACAGAATAAAGACATGAAACTGGTTGAGGTCACCTAGGAATGGTATGTAGATGAAAGATGACCAGGGAGCTCTGAACTCTGGGATTCCTTGACTGGGCACAGAGACCAGGACTTAAAGGAGCTGCTTATTAAGTAAACAGGAAGAGGCCAGAGCTGAGTTTTACTTTCCCTCTCAGAGAGCTTGTTCTGTGGGAGAACTCTGTGGAGGTGTAATGTGTACAAGTCCTTCCTTCCAGCTGTGGATATTGTACTTGAGCCATTTACTCAAGTGCTACATTTATGGATTTAGCAACATTTCCCTTGAGTTTCCAATGCTAATAAAAGATTGTTTGCCTTTTCACACTAACAGATGATTATCTTCGCTGTGGAAAATTGCTTCCTCTGAATCATACTCTAGGCTGTTAAGTGCGTTGTCTGTAGGCACACACTAGATTTAGGTTTGCAGGTGATTTTAAAATTATCATGTGGTAACTTGAAAAAGGAGGTGGCTATACTGCGCAAAGCAAGGACTCACCTGTCCTTGGGCAGGTCTTTGCCGGAAGATGCACCAGGGATGTTGCCTATTGCGGACCTCTGGGAAACCCAGAGGCCCGCAGCAGGCCCAGCCTTACTCTTCCCAACAAAGAAGAGATGCCTCTTACTAGAGCTATCACCTCTCTGCTTCCTATCACACAGCAGGATAGGTCCTACGAGCTCTACCCAAGTATACATCACTCTTAGCTTATATTTGAGAGGCAAATGGGTTAAGTGAGGCTGGAGTAAAATAGTTCCTCACCAAACTGAGAGGCCTTGTTACCTATGGCCTTCTTGCTAGCCAAGCCATTCTCCGAATCCAGGTCCTGGGTGTGATCAGTAGAGGCCCATCCACAGAAAATGAGAAGACCTGGGGAAGTTTCCTTTCTGTGATATCTTCTACTCCAGGGGCTTGTGAGCGCAGCTTAGAAATGTCCTCAATATTTGTGGAATTCTGCTTCCTACTCCCTTCAGGCAGCCCTGAGAGCTTGCAGGAGACCACCATCAGGGGCCTACTGGCCCAGCGTGGCTGCTCCACAAAGACAAAACTACTCATCAGGGATCACTTTCCAGAGAACACAGCAAAATAGATTTAGAAAATAAAACCACTTTAATTCACAAGCCAGTTGTTCTAGCTGAATAAAAGGGATATGAATTAAATCTACCTACTGCAAACAATGACAATAACAACATTGCTTGGTTTTCAGAGTATCGCATTAGGGAAATGTGACTATAGACCTTAGTTACTCATAATTTGTTATGTGTTTGCTCATTCATTTCATATATGTACTATATTTACTGAAGGCTTACTAAGTGCTAGGTATTATAGGAGCTGGTGATACTGTAGTGAGCAAAATAAAGTCTATGCTCTTGTGGAGTTTAGATCCTAGTGGAGGGAGACAAACAAACATATTGTAAAGTCAAGTGTGATAACTGTTATAAAGAAAATAAAGAAGAGTGAAAAGATAGAGGATGAGGAAGTGCTGGGAGGGAGTTGTTACTTTAGATTGGATGAGCTCATCATTGGAGTCATGAATCCAGGCTCTTCCCAGCACTGGCCCTGGACTTGACATTTCATCTCATGATCAAAGTTCCAGGTTAACAGCCATTCTGCAATTCCTAGAACAGGCACCGCCTAGTGGTTGTAAAATGAATTAACCTGTGTTTCATTCATCCCTTGGCCTTGGAGCTTAAATGCCCTTGGAGTTCAAATGCCCATGATTCAAGACAAAATGTTACCGGTGGGGCACTGGGGAGCAGGGCTGTGGTTTGACAATTGATTGCATGTTGTTTCACACAGACCCTTGGACTGTGTCTGTTTAGATCTTTTCCTTCCTTCTGCCTGGCCTACTAATGACCAGGTAGGAAGTCATTGATTTAGGTCCTTTCGAACTATCAACGACACTCTGAATCATGTCCAAAAACACAAACACATGCATGCACACCTCACCCACGTTTATTCACTTATTGTCATGGTCTAGGCACTATGCTAGGCTGGATACATAATATTGCTGAGACATGAAGAAACAAAAGTTGAAAGAATGAGGGGAAAAATTATCTCAAATTTAATTTAGTGTAATGTGTCACCATATGTATTTCTAAGAGCCACCATATCCCCCTGACTTGGAATACCCTCTGAGCCTGTATTCTATCCTGGAACTGAAGG